CAATAATTCGATTGAATTGATTAGAGCATTGCTATCGTGCTTGAGTAAGTGTAAAACGCTAATCCTCTAGTACCTGCTAAGAGAATTGTTGCTTAGTAATTCGTCTTCTATATCCGTTACAAATTTCATTAACATTCAATCAGAATATTATAATATAGCCAGACAGGCAATCACACGTTCGTACATATCTATAAAACATATATATAGCTGTGTCCTGGGACTTTATCTGCATGTTTTAAGAAAGAAGTTAGCATATATATCCGTCCTCGTAAGAGAATGTACCTAACTTCACGTCAATCCTTACCCGCACAAAAGTAATAAATAGACTTTACAATGTATAAATATAAGAATTAAAAATTATGCGAAACTCAAAAGTCGTGAGTAGGTACTCGGGCGAAACCAGAGCGTGTCACTAGTTACAAATATTCTCAATTCAGACAACTAATAAATACGAATTTAATATAGAGCTGCCTGCTTTTTTCTAAAGAAATAATAGTATTTATGTTTTTTGTGTTATTAATATATTAATGGGTAGGTAATTTAGACAAAATATTGTGGCTACCTACATGTTTGTTTTAGATATTATATTTTCCATATATATATTTATTATTATATTTAAGCTACAATAATTGACAAATGTGATAAACAGAATAGCTTAACGTCGTTAATTGCGTATGTTTCAGATCAGCAAACCAATGTATTTCTCTATATTATATAGGTAACTAGTACAATTGACTAGTTTAAAATGCGACACGATACTATATATAATAGTACAGCATGAGAACCCTAGTTCGAGACGTAATAATAATATAGAGGGTGCTCTTTTTATTGTTTTCTATTTCTATTAAAAAGGGGTACCAAACGGGAAGTTGCAGGGGAGTAAATCGTTAGCTATGGAGCTATCATTGGCCCCTTTGCTAGCAATATACTGTTTGGTCGACTTCTACACAGTCCCCCTTGGAAACCATCATGGTAAAATCCATGTAAATTCGTAACCGTTCAAGTTACCAAAAGAAATGAAAAATCCTTTATACTATTTTTTTATGTAACTTCGCGCTCTTCATAGTAAGTGTACCTATTGTCTAGACATATGAGAGCACCGAGGACATCATCTAATATCGTCATCATATAATGCCTCTTCATCCTCATCGCGTGTATCTATGTATCTCATCCTTCTTTTTAATGTGGAGATATTATGTCCAGAGAACGTCCTGAGATGTATAGAACCGACCTCTACTGATCTCACTCTACAATCAAAACGCATCTTAAAAAGCTGCGACAGATTGCCGTAGCAAGTGGCGGTGACCAAAGACAATATTATTATTTTATTTCATATATATGTTAGTTCTTAAGATATATATCGGCCAATAATACTATATTATAAATGCGAAAGTGTGAGTATGGATGAATGTTTGTTACTCTTTCACGCAAAAAGTACTGACCGGATTTTGATGATACTTTACAGTAATATACTTAACAGTGTATAAGCTATACATCAGAATAACACATAGGCTAAAAATATCAAACAGGCGAAGCCGTGGGTACAGCTATTATTGTTATATAAATAATAAAGAGTTGACGGAAACAAAACAAAAAAAAACTAGTTGCTTGGCGGCTGAAATAGGTGAGATAAAAGCAGACGATATTATAGAAAGTGTACTACGGGTAATAACAGATTTCACGTTTTAATATTATCTACATGAAAAAATACAGAATTTCACATGTAATAAACCTGCCTACTAACGTACCGAGGAGGTCGTCAATTATAAAACTTCACCAATTGCTTATACATTTTGCAGGTACCTACAATGTATTTAATGATCCGTGACAATCTATGTTAGATAAACTATGCCATAACTATAACTGAATAAACTTATAGAGCAGACATTGTATGAGTTATGTGTAATCGTTTCTTATAACATATTTCTAACAGAAACGGGACGTCAAGCGAAACTGATGCGAGTGCCTCTCTTGTATCTAATGTATGGATTACAATTTATATATTTAATTTAAACAATTACTATACAATATTACAATTAATGTACCAATATTAGAAAACTAAAACTCTACCTGTCTATATTTTTTTCCCCTTCTGTCGATTAAACGATTGACAGAATACTAATTAAATTTTAAATGAATATAGAAGATATCACAAGGAGTATATCTTATTCACACAGTCTATTTTTTATTTTAACAACAAGAAACACAGTTACGGTTAGTCTTGAATTTGTCAGTTTAGTGTAAACTATCTCAAACTAATTTGGTCAGACATAGTCCAACTTAGTTCTTGATAGTTTCAGTGCATAAAATATTATATTTACAATTTTGCAATTTAGCTCGTGTATGTACTCAAACGTACCTTTGGTACAATTTTGAGCCGCATTTTTTAGTAAACCAGGCTTTAATGTTAATAACTTACAGGTTATTTTTCCACTTCACTTGCGGTCACTGAAAATAAGACAGCTATCATAATTTCTAGTCTCAACATTATTGGCTCTACAACTATCATCCCTGTGTATTTTTCGTATCCCCCAGGCGTCTTCGACACAAGTATAATTAGTTTTTTTTTCACTAACGAGCCACCGTCGTGCCTTTGGCAACAGCTGTCCCCGACAAAGTCTAACGTTGGCTAAATGTCGCATACGACATTAAAATACAATTAAGACTAGAAAACTATATTTTAGAATAGTCATTTCTATATTTGTAGTCGACAATTTTGTGTATACATTTTCTTATAAATACTTTATGTCAACAATGTTATTGTAACGAAATGGTTATAAAAACGATAAAAAGGAAAGATGATAGATATTTACCTACTCAATATAACTTGTTGAATCGTCTAAGCCGCCTGCCTGGGCACGTGCGCTTTATGTCTGCAGTCAAGCATCTTGCTTAATAAGCTGTCTTGAATGGAAGGCTCATTAAAAGCAATTAAATTTTAAGGGTGACCTTTAAGAATATTTTAGTCCTTACGAATAGCAACACATGACTCTTATGCTATTCGCCTCAGGCATTATACCGCAAATTCTACCAAATTATCGAGTATTGCCCATTGTGCTGTTTATGCTTAGGCGACGGTTGCCATTTTACATCAGGCGCGTATTCAGCTTGTTTGCCATTCCAATTACTTAATAAATCAATTATCGTTCTTCGACCATAGCACTATTTCCTGACATTAATAATAATAATATCCTTGGACAATTCACTCTACGCCATCTAGTCTCAAATTAAGCTGAGTTTGTGTTATGGGTACTATATTTATACTACTGATAAAAATACATAGATACTTTTTTTGTAAATACGTAGATATATAATATAGATCAATCAATCAATCATACTCATGAATACAATAATTTGTACCGTGCAAGGAATCGAACCCGTGAATAATTAGACGTAAAGCGACATGCTAAAACACTAGACCACCGAGGCCGTCGTTGATTAATATGTATTTTGATTTCTACTACTTATTAAATAGATATTGTCGACTTGTTACGTAAGGAATATAATCCCAGAGCGATGTAGAACTAGTGGTACACCAAAACAACCGGTATAAATATCGCTGTCCCCTGTGTAATTAGGACGTGTTAAGTGGAAGCCATATAAGCACGCCACCCGAATACTGGCATAGGATCAAGTAACGAGCGGTACCGGCCACAGTTGTTACGTAATTAACGTTTTTATGTGATTTACTCAGTTTGTAATCATTTGTATATTAGTTGTATTTCAGCAAGCTACATATAAAGACAGTATAGAATCGCAACGTTTATTTTATGCACATCTATGTCATAGTAAAAAAATGCTACTATGACGATATAACAACATGCAGAAACTTCATATATCTATAGGTTAAGATTTGCAGCCAACGCAAATTTGTCAGACAATTTGAGTTTGTCAGAAAAAATACCCGTCCTGAGTCCATGAAGTACCTACCTAATAGTAATACCTATTATGTTATCTGTGCTAATAGCAAAATCACTAAATCAAAAATCCACCGTAACTGTTAGGTAAACAGATCAATTTATTATGTATGTGCATAGATAAAGAAAAAAATCTTGTTAATATCAACAAAGTACATACCAATTTTAATTGAAATTAAAACCTCTCGGCTATTTTACACTGTTAGGATTTTCTACTATTACAATTACTCCTACAAATTAGTCGCTCTCGTTTATACTTTGTACCAACATTTTCGGGCGTATTTTCTGTAATAATTATTGGATGCTTGAGCTGCATCCGCTTCTGTGCTTCAAACAGTTTAATCGACCGACAATTTGCTGCCGCTGTCTCTATTAACTTGAACCTGTAATTTTGGCTACGTAACCCTTCATTTGGGTATTGTCGGTCCCCACATTTCGGTGCTCCAATTAGGGCACGTTTATTGTACCGTTAACTTAATGAATTCCGCCACACTCGCTCTACTGTTTGATCTGCATTACACTAATAGTAGGAAGGCGTTTACAGAACTAGACTCTCAGACAGACGCAGGTTAGACTTTTGATCTCTTTTCTACTGTACATATTAAAATACATTTAGTGATGGTGCAGTGTTGTTGGATACTTGAAACCGTGTTACATCTACTCTAGTATACTTCATAATTTTTTTAGTTCAGTCTGATTGAGATTCATCAATAACATCAGTAAAATCTAATTAAGTTTTTGAGTACCTATGTAATATCATAGGTACTCAAAAAGGTAACTGTTGCCTGTGTTATCAAGTATTTAGTTTATAAAATTTGCAAGCGATTATCTACATAACTTTACTATTAGAAGATTTTTCTAGTAAATAATTAATAAAGATTGCTTAAGAGACTTTTGCTAAATTACCTACTGTACACACAGGTTTTTATACTGATGATAAATAGGCAACTAAATTTTACTTAAAAACTCATGCACCAACAATAGATCTATTCCATAGACATAACAAAATATGCTATCCAATCAATGTCAATTTTACTTATCAGATTAAAATCAATAATAATATATCATAACAAAGCGTAGATATTAATTAGTTATTCTATAGACAATTGAATAATGTCGTCACGGAAAATAGAAGATATTCACTTAACTTTATTAAATAAGTTACTCTCAGATTCTGGATTGGAGTGCATCAGATCGGCACCAGAATCACTGGAATCATTTTCCTCATTAGAAGAAGCTGAGGAAGAAGGTACCTATCTGTTAATCCACTGCGATTTCTAATATTTTTTAATAATGAATGCGGAATGGTCTCTCTGCCGAAAGAAGAATGAGTTTACTCGTTCGGGTCTCGACTATATATTCCTTTGGTTTAGAAACCTTCACTTCATCTGAGCTTGTTTTTAAAGAACGTACAAAACACTAATATAAAAGTTCCTTGATGAACCCGAACCAAAATATGAAATAGAATATTAACTCTTATAAAAAAATACCTACTACAATACCAATAGGATATCGGACATAAGGTTAAGGCTCTTGGCGGGCATATATTTTTTTCCATTTATTCTAAATGCACCGCGGACGCAACTGGCATTTACAGCTTCATCGAACGATACTTAGCGAGTGCAGATGGAACTCCAAACCCGCGAATGACATATTATAAAACTAATACCTAACTGTAATTATATTAAACTCAATACCTAATACGTTTTTACGTTAGCCTCACATGAACAACATGAAGAATTGATTTCTGAAGAAACACAAGAAGGAGAAGACAAGCAACTAGTTGTTGAAGAGGTGCAAGCTGAGGAACCAGAAGTCAGTTAAAGATACAGATTTCTTACAGCATTTGTACACATGAGTATCATTGTATCATTAAGCTTATTTTCAAAAAGGGTAGATACATTGAATGGTTAGGATATCAAAAAAGCAAATGTGGACAAGACATATTTCAGACAAATAATTAATAAATTAAATTCAGTTTTCCCTTAATCATTTCATCCAACTGATTTAAGAAAGTCCTTTGCAAGAGCTGTATTGTAGTTAGAGATGTATGATTATGATAAAAATTTTAATTGATTTGACTTCTCTGCAAGGTATTCCCAACGCCCTCCTTAAGAAGAGTCATTCCTGAGAAAATCCGAAAAATAGAAGAGCAGTACAGGATTCATGTACTTCCAGAAGAGTTTAAAACTGATATCGATCCTGCAGCCATACCTACGATAGCTCATACTGCGCAACAGAAGTACATAGATAGTTTAGCAGAAATTGTGGGCTGTACTGAATATAAGAGCAGCTTGGCGGAGTTTTGGTTTCTAGACACCTTAGCTAATTTACTTAGAAGAGCACAAGAAGACGAATTAGATAGACGTAAGTTTTGCAGTAACAAATCTATTTAGTAGATATATTATAAAACTATTATCCGCAATTTCATCTTTTATTTTAATATAATAGTTAGACTATATGTCCATCCACTAAGATTATACAACTCCTTTCAAGATTACAAGATCCTTTCAGCCGTTAAGTTGTAGTAAGGCAACAAACAGATAGGTAGATATATTTATGCTGTTAAAATATTAGTACAGATTTGGATTTTAATCGTTAAGACGTTGAGCAGTAATGACCTTATCAAAATATTAATTCAGATACCTAACATTTTTACAACAAAGATAGTAGGTAGTAATCGAATACAGTTACAATTTACCTGAATGTAAAGTCACCAGAGCTCTTGAACGCTAGAAAAGAATTTTCCCTCGACCTTTGGAGCAGTAGGCAGGTATCCTTTATGAAGAAACTTACATACATATGTAAGACTAATATAGGAAATAGACTGTAGATCTTAGGGACAACAATATGTATCAACATACATATTGTTGTCCCTAAGATTTAAACTTTTCAGCAACTCAGGCCGTACTCATACTGTGGTTTTGCGAATGGATGAAAGAAATACAACACTTTGATGCAGCTGATCGAAAGAGAATGATGAGACGTTTTCAGGTAAAATAAAACATGCTTTATTGTAACATTCATGCATGTACCAGGGCAGAGGTAAACTCATTACATCTATGGCTATTTTTAGAGCCTATATTTCATAAAATATTTTTTTTTATATTAAAAAATTAATGACATTTGTCATGCAAAATGCCATTGTTAATGTAACTTTATACAATATAGTAAAAGAACATGGAGAGAGTATAGAGACTCCAGATCTATGGTACGAACGGTAGTGGGTCAAACAAAACCGATAGCAGTAACAGAAGGTGTACATCAGGGCTCAGTACTAAGCCCCTTCTTGTTTTGCCTGGTTCTTGACTCACTCACAGAGGTTGCGCAGGAATCAGCATGCTGGACCTTCATATACGCAGATGATGTAGCGATTTGTACAGAAAGTCGCATTGAGTTGCAGGAGTCGCTTCTGTATTGGAAGCATCAGTTACAAATGGGTGGTCTAGTGTTGAATATTGCGAAAACCCAGTACATGGCTATGAATGTGCCAGATACCTCCGATAACAGTCCAATTTCCATTGAAGGGCAAATGATCACCATGTCGATCAATATAAGTATCTGGGAAGTATAATGCACAACTCCGGGAATATAGAATGCAATATTCAACAGCGAATAGCTGCAGCGTGGCTTAAATGGCGAGAAGTGACTGGTGTTACATGCGACAAGAGAATGCCTGTTAAACTCAAAGGGTTAATTTATAAAACAATTATAAGACCCGTTCTTATGTATGGCAGTGAAATATGGCCCGTAACCCAAAAGAACGTGCATACCATCCAAGTTGCTGAAATGAAGATGCTGAGGTGGATGTGCGGTATAACCAGGCTCGATAAAATCCGCAACGAGTACGTACGAGGAAGCCTGGCTGTTCGCGACATTGCTGAAAAAATGCAGGAAAGTAGGCTGCGATGGTATGGACACGTGAAGAGAAAGCCGCCTGATTACGTCGGAAACCTGGCACTGCAACTTTCTATTCCTGGTCGAAGGGGCAGAGGCAGACCAAGGAAGGGATGGGAAGATGTTGTTGCTAGGGACATGATAGAGTGTGAGGTCTCTGAAGACGATGTCCGGGACAGGATAAAATGGCGGACAAAGATAGGGAAAGCTGACCCCACCACCATGTGGGATATATAGCCAGGAAGAGAGAGAGAGAGAGTAAAAGAACATGGAGACAATTTAATAATATCCTATTTATTTTCAGGATAATATGCTTTCTGCAGCAAAATTTATAGCCGAAGAAGAGCGTATTCCTACACCAACTGATGCGGGTATTTACTATCGTGCTCCTGAGGAGATACCCGAGGGTCAGCCCCTCCAGAATGTTCCACCAGAGTATACACGACACGCATCAGTCACGTTCGAGGGTGCAGCGTTTGAATGCTCTCTAAGAGACCTTACAAAGATTATACATTATATTTTTGACTTGTAAGATAAGTTTAACCTACCCTAATACTAAGACACCATAGTACCTATTTGCCCACGTGCTCATGACCTTGCATTGGTAGACTAAATTTTAATATTTACCTACTCATAATATCTTATTAATAGGTATACCTACTTATGCTTTCCCTGGTAGTCTTTTATTAGTGGAGATACCGGCGCATTAGATTCTATTGCTGTCTAAAACTAACGGTTTATTTTAGTTGATGATAATGGTATGGTGCACCCGCCTGCGCTAACGGTATACGCCGGCGGAATACCAGTAGAGGATGTTATAATGAGAAGTCAAATCAGTACATAGCTGCAAATTCACTACTGTACCTACGCTTATCACTTTCGATATGATGAGCAGTCACTAGTCTGTAATTCCAATTTGTACATAATAAATGTAGGTAAACTTTAAACCAGTTTGTTATGGGTTGTTTCACCATACATTTTTATATTACCCATATAAAAACGTTAATCCTGCCCTAATGTCTACTTTCGAAGAGTTGATCTGGATCTTTAAACCCCGATAGACAGGAAGTAGTGTTGATATAGCCAATACACATGAACCTAGAACTAAATTCAACTAAATTTTTTTTATAGATATGCACTTTATCTACTTAAATACATAGATACTACACTAATGTATTTTTTCTTTTATAAATATCAATCGTCATACTTACATATTATATGTAGATAGGTATATACTTTTAATTTACTTGCATACCTGCCTTAAAGCTTACCTTTAAACTTTCATCGCGTTATCGAATATCTCTCAGGTTCAGCACAGACTATCAATATGATCTGGTGCGTTCGATCTTCACATTTAGTCCTGAATACACGCTGATAGATGTCCCCTACCAGATACAGAATCCAAAGTCCCTTTACGCGCCTTTGAAATTCAAGCCTAAAAAGGAGAAATCACCAAAGAGTGATAAACCGGGTGCGAAAGGGAAAAAGAAGGATATAGACACGGAAGAATATTTGGCTTTGTTGGAGGTAAGATTTTTCAGTTATTGTTTATACTGCAGTCATGTCCTTTCCGTTGCTTTCGCTACCTTGCTTTAGTATGCTACTCCTTACAGAAGTAGATAATTTTAAGGTACCTAACGTTACTTTGCGGCAATTTTATGCAAGGCACTTACAGAAAATAAAATCACGTTGCTTGCCATTTTTCTGATATCTCAAAAGATATTAGAAATGGTAAAAGGTAAACGCGGTCGTTTGTAAAGATAAATGTTTGATACTGCAACTACACGTAAAAACGTCTAGGATTTACAATTAAATATAATAGGTACAGATTGGAGCTTTTCTATATTTAAAGGGATGTTCTGGCGTTACTGGAAAATGTAGTGCAAGTAAACATTTGCAAGGATAAAATTTTAAGTTTCGCTCCTACTAATTTTTTTTTTTAATCTGAATGTTAGGGAATTTTGGGGGAAAACTAAAGGATTATGCCACAACAATTAATCTATTTGTATCCTAGATTACATATTATTATACATATCCTGAATTAGCAGATAGGATACTTATTACCTTAATTTTTATTACTACAACATTATCTATGTTGTTACCAGCTAAAGGCCAAACAAGAACGGGAATTACAGGAACAAGAAGAAAGAGACCGCGAAGTGTGGCAATATCGTAGTCACATACTACCACTGAACTTGGCAGCCGATGATGCCTTCTTTAACAAGTACTGGCCGCCACCACCGCCGGAGCCGGTACCGGAGCCCGAACTAGAGCCTAAGGGGAAAGGAAAAGGGAAGGGCAAGAAATAATTGTAACATGACATTAATAATTCTTCGCTACGTACCTAAAGTACCTTAGGATTTACAAATTTTGGAAAATGTAATTTATTGTATAACTAGTAGTTTCCCACTAATAGGAAGCAATTTTTTTAAATAAACTATAGGTACTTTTACATAGTGTTGTATTGATATTTATATGATTGCGTTTCTGAAAATTTGCGGCACATGCACAAGACGCTCAAAATGAAAGTCGGCCATCTGTAGACATTTCAAGATACTATTATGATTAATTCACAACATTAGTCGTCAATTATTTATGGGTTATTAAGTTGGCGGGACACCAGTTGAGGATAAAGTAAGAAACTTTTAAGGAATATAATATGTGCGACTTTAATAATATTAATATTCACATAGTAAATCTGCTCAAAATATGCCATACAAATCACGTCTAGGCAAATGTAAATGTAAATTTATTTGGCCACTTTAAGTATAACAATTTATAATTTTTTTATTAATAGATATCTACTTTTAGTATTTAATCGTAATTGTATAATAAAACATCTTGTTTACGATTATAATTGCAATTATATTTCATATCAATAAAACTTTGTTTGACTGTACATTCAAAGCCACTAACATACCACATGTACCAGTACCATAATGCCGGAATGTATTTTGAGCATCAAACCCCTCGTGTACAGTCCCACAAAAGACAAAACGTACAAGAATAACATCTTTGCGTCAGTACGGTACTTGTGCAATATAAATACATACAATATTATCAATTTACAATAAAATTATTATCACTATAATTAATATTGAATAAAACCGTATTAATCTGACCAAGACAAGAATAGAAGGGCTATGAATTTTATTTGGATGATGACACAATTTTTAACTATTGGGCGACTTCTTATGCGTATACATTAGACCCGAGTTGATGGTGTTCAAATGACAACAATAATAAAAGCTTGTGTTATGGGTGTACCAGGCCACTGATATAAATACTTTTTTGTAAATTCATATATAATATAACATAGAAAACACCCAGACCGATACAATCATTATCATGAATACGAATGTTTCCATCGTGCAAGGCATCGAACCCGCGATCATCGTAAGTAAAACAGTGTGCTAAACCGTTAGACCACCGAGGCCGTCAACAGAGTTCCCAATAATAGTAGTATATCAGTACATCCCAGTTTCCCAGTATAGAGTACCCATACACAAAGCGTCAAACTTTTAGTTCGAAACATAACTGTTAATGTGCCACTATATATAATAACTCTTGGTCAGTTAGAATGGAATATGTATCTACTGATTTGGTAAGCTCGTGGTAGACAACACAGGTCTACATAATTACACTATACAGTCGCTATTACACCATTATTTAAAATATACAATGCTTGCGCGCTATAGCGTGGTACGGGTGACAGCCGATACCTATTTACTATATGGCAGTGTTTCTCAGTAATTTTTAATATGTGAACCATTTGTAACTACTAAAACTACTACTATTGAAAACTAGCATTCCAGACAGCAAAAGCCGTCCGACTAGAAAATTATTTGATAAATTAAAATTCTCTAAAATAGATCTATTATATTTTTTGTTGGAAAATAAACAGTGTCTAAAATAGTATTTTTAAACATATACAGCTTTATAAACATAAAACGTAAAAATAAATGAGACTTTTAGATAAAGCGCGAATTTAATGACAGATATCTATCTGATGTCTATCTACCAATCACTTTGAACAATATATTTAGCCTACGTACAATCATACATACATCGTATCAATCCATATTCGTGACATTGTCACTACATGTCTGTCCCTAACACCACGCTATAACGCACAAATTGTAAATCATTACATCAATAATCTAATACAATCACAAAACTACAGTTGAGCCAGAACAAAAAACTACAATTTCAGATTATCAGTGTTACATTTATAATTAATTAATGTTCTTATTATTAACAAGCACTATGAGGCGGATTATAAAAAATATATATAGCTAATATATATACAGAAATTATGGTTAGTGCCATACACATTGTCGTTATGTTTGTTGTTCGACCATTATTTTTCTCGTATTCTCCATATGTCGTTAATTTGTATCTTGTAGCTAGTTACTTGTATCTAGATATTTACTATGTAACTACCTGAATATACACCTACATGTATAATTAACTACAGAAAAAATATAAAATTAATATTCGCCAGTAGTATACCTACACTTTCATAATTTAAACTGTTTAAACTATGGTTAATTTTAAAATCAAATAGAAATAGTAATTCAGCAGGGATTGCCATCTCTGCGATATAATCAGATGTTTTATTAATTAATACTTTAATGTTTACATTTTATAGATATATATTAAACTTAGAATTATTATATATTCTAGTAATGTATATTATTGTTCACATTGAGCTTCAAACATGTCATCGTAATTGTTTCAGTAGGAGGTGCTTTTATAGTATAGTATATATACATTTATAAAACTTATAATTTATAATATTGTAATACATGTACTACAAATTATTTAACAAATAAAAATATATGTTACTTTTGAATCCATTATGGAATGAAATATTGAGCAATTAATTACTGTTAAACATGGAAATAGTGACAACATCACAAAAACAACTGTATAATGATTAATTTTTTAAAGGCAATAAACCATTCAAATATTAATATGAAATGGAATGGCTAACAAGCTGAAGACCTACTTGATAGGAAGTCGTAATCTGCTATATACATATTCTTATATGAATGACACAAAATTGATTGTGACAACCACACTTGCTCAAAAACTCATGCGTTATCATTCCTGAGAACTCAAATATCATGCTTTCGCATTGTGTTATTTACTGTAGATATAAAATATTTTTATACATCCTACAATTATCATAAACGTCCTTGTAGATTTGTCGCTTTTGAAAGTATGTCAATAATTAAATGTTTCAATCTTAGAATGATGTATGCATGCATCTGAGAAAAATTAAGTTTTGAAATTTATTTGTAACCTCAGAAATATGATAATATAACACATATATAAAAAATATTTTATAATTTTGACTCGATATTTAACTGATAAAATTATAAGTACCTACATAATATCAAATTGGCACCAAAGTGTTTTTGTGTGTATCTATGTATACATAACCTAAACTTATTGTTAAACATAAGACGAGCTAAAATGATTTTTGGTTATATTACGTATTAATTATTGAAAATTATATTACCTAATTGACTAATTACTCTATGAATATTGAAATGCTTGATACTCATAAATGAAAGTTAAAATATAGTCATATCTGCAACATTGGTTTTGCATCTATATATGGAAAAGTGCATATTCATCAATGGAAAACTGAAAGATGTTTGACGGCTCATGCAATTTTTTTTTCATGTAATGTCTGTGGCATCACAAATGTATTGTGATACCCGTGGAAACCAACATACAGTGCCATTCTTGATGGCTAAATTTTTATGCAACAGACAACTTAGTTACCAAATACACAACATACTCCTAAATTTGTTTAAAATAAACATTAACATAAAGCATGCTTTATTCTAAGATTACAATAACTTACTGACTGCACAACTATTTTAAATATTGCACATAATTATATTACTAATACATACATTTATACGAACTATGGAGAATATGCAACAGTCAGAAAAGAAAATTCTTAGTCATAATACTTAACATAATATTAGTATATAAAATGAAAGGAAAGACAAAAGAAATAGTAAAATTAATAATATTCTACTGATATGAAAGTCGTATATTTTCTGGGACACAAAAGATAGTAGTTAGGTAAAACAAAAATAATAAAATCTACTCGTCCAAATAAGATAAAGAAAGAGACAAGTACTAGTAAAAATATTAAAATGAATTAGTTCAATTGTGTTCTAATGCTGTAAAAAAGGGATTAAAGAAATTAATTTATAATTTAAAGACATAAGTCTTTTTCTGCGGATATTTAATAAAATAATTCATACATAAATGTTGTTGTTTATTAATGTCCATATTATATATATAAAGTGTTTTTAATATTCAATAACCTATAAATGTGTTTTAATATCCACCCACCAACAAAATAAGGACGTAATTAAATCGACAAAATGTCTAACTAGTCCAATGACATAATTTTGAATTTTATTCTGGAATGTAGTTTGTCAATTAAGCTTTAAAATATTTTCAAGCTCACTAGTTTTCAGTCTTCAAACCATACCCATAAATAAATAAAAATTATTACAGACAGATTCCCTTATTTTTACAATACTGATGGCAATATAGAAATAAAATTAATAAATGGACTTTTAGACAAATAGACACACGTTTGTAGAAATCATTTCATAAAGAAAAATATTAAAATACTAACTCCATACATTCTCGTCACAAACAGAAAGTCAGTTGATGCTAAAATATAAAGATTATATAGCCTTTATAGAAAAATTGAAAATATTATTCTGGTATATTGTAACTTAAAAATACTGGTAAAAGCTCGTTTGAAATTAATGGTTCGAGTACTAATATAATAAATGCATTTTATTTTTTGTAATCTGTAATATTCTTTATTAACTACACGGCAATTTGGTTGGCCATAAACATTGTTTATTTCGTAAAATGCAAATGTCTTACATTTGCATTTTACGAAATAAACAATGTCCTCCTTCAAACGTTCCTATATAAGCAGACGTGCATTATTAAATTAAATTAAATTAATAAATATTAAAATAACTGTAAAACAAAACACGGAATAATATCTAGTCCCAATCTAAGCGCAGCTTACAGATATTATGGACACTAGACAACTTATACGCGTACTTAATATACATTCTTTATAAATATATACATAATACAAATAGATAAATAGAACCAAACTTAAGAAAGATCATTAGAAGGTGAGGTTGTCTGCTAAAACGCTAGACTACCGACATCGTAAGTTAATTAACATTAATATAAGAAATGATGACTAAACGTCTATAATATATGAGATGGGACCACGATTTGTAATTTTTAACAATAACTATTGAAATACGTATTAATGGTTTTTTCTTTGGGGCCATACATAACTTACATCATATCAATTTCAGTAATTTATACCACAAATGCAAAAAATATTTATATAGTCAAAGTTTCATATCCCACTTACAGAGAATAATGAAGTAATTATATATTTATAAAATTTTACATTTCATATTACAATAAAAAAGAATCGTAAGATATACAGATAAAGCAAAAATCAAATGGTACCCTTTTGCACTAATTTTTTTTCTCACTATCCGATATATATTTTTATCCAAAATGAAGTTTTATATAAATTAGTTATCAAAGACCATTCTTAACACCACCCCACACCTTACCAGTCTACATATAACCTCAAAAAATACATTACATAATTCTTCATTTATTTCTACTCACATCACATATTGTAATACATAACTATAATATAATAATTTAGAAATTCGAATAAACTCATGACTATTGAGATTCTAATTCCATATGTACATCGACAAAAGCTAACGTAACAAAGAACCAATAGCTCTCCTAGACTAATTGATTATGGTCTACTGTGTGCAATGATTGATCTATGGTACACAATGTTTTTGTTATACCCATACCCATTTAGTTTTTGTTATATTAGAAATTTGTTGCTTCAAAAAAAGCGTACATATTGAAAGTGATTTATCAAAGTGTAAAAGAATTCTTATATTATGTCACAATGCAAAATCAACCATATTTTATGAACATTAGAACTATTATCATATGAGCGTATTAACACTCCGTTAGACAGATAAAGCATGTAAATTTATTCTCAAGTTGTTCTCACTCACTAGCAACATTTTGTTCTTTGTGAAAAAGTCACGCTTTTTTTATTTATAATTATTATGAGATAAATGACTGTTTAATATTATTATATTATATATCTAAATTCAGTACATAATTTATAATCAACTTATCACAAATAAAATTGGCATATAATTTATACATGATTTCTTATTGAGTGTTACTAATAACTAATATCTAATATAAATATATGGTGATTAAAGGTAGATAATATAGCTAGCAGGCTAGCGTAATACCTAAAAGCCTAACACGTAAATACAATGAAAATGTATACATTATGGGTCATAAATGCCCGATTTTAAAACAGATCCGCCCGCCCATCTTTAGTAAGTCTGGCAAGTTGTAAATATAATGATAAATTTTGACAAAATTAATCAATCTTTTAAAGGTTTAGTTCAATGGCATACCTATCACTAAGTCATAGTCGGTTATAAGAGGTACAAAATCTGTACTCGATATCGCATCACACTAAGCGTTTCCTTCCATGCAGTAATTTATTTACTAAATGAGATCTTTTAGAAACCCCTTAAAGCGATTAGGCTTCTAATTGTTTGTTGCAACCAAACTTTAATCAACACGTACGATCTTTGACGCGCGATCAGGAGTGCGCGCTATTTAGCGCGTGAAAGCCAGCGCGCGCAACATGTTAGATTGTAATTTACTATTTTCTGTGTTTACTCTTTTGTGCGTGATGGCGCAAATAAACATTCGTAATTTCATTTTCTTTTGAAATATTACACATATAAAATGTATATATAATATAAGAAACGAGATCATAAACATGCGAGATTGCTAAGATGGGCCTATTAATGGTATACGTATTTACCATACACATTTAATACACACATATATATACTAAACTAATCTACAATATAAACATTTATACAGAGTTCCACAGATAATTACCACAGTCGATAATGGATACTGGCCTGTGGCCACTGTGATGGCACGATCAGATGTGATGAGCTGCGGGTGTGGCGAACGTGGCAGGCGTGATCGGCGTGGCGGGCGTGGCGAGCGTGGCGAGAGTGGGGGCGTGCTGCTACAGGAGCGCACGCCGACAGTCTCCGCGGTACGCGCCCGCGGTACCCCTGTTTCATGTTTGCCACCTAGAGACGAGTTCATATCTACGATATTAAAAGAGAAATATTGACTGCCGCATCATCACTAAGCCAAAATTATAGACATCACAAAAGCCAAATTTACACATATATCTCTTAACTCTCAATTTCTGTACACAACAGAATCTTTGTATACAGAATTCAAGAGATAAAAGAAAAAATAATATTGTAAATTCTTTCCTTGAAGCATCCAAACGACATCCTTCAGTCGTTGTCGTTCTAAATTGATATGGAATTGACGAAGCTACCTTCGGGAAGCTAGGAAAAAAAAATATGGATTCCCATTGGGAACCTCGCTCGTCAGTCCGTAGAAAACCAAACTCAAACAGTTGATTTTTTATATATAAGTACTAAGCAAAAAAAAATATGGCTTGTAAATTAGTAAGCATAGAAAATTTTTACAGACTTTCTTCAATACTAAACATGGTACATTATAAAGATAAGTAGGTCTCTATTAGAAAGAGAGAAAATCAAAAATATAATTTCACTTTGTGTTGTATAACTAGGCGTTATTTTGACTAAATTTTAAGTATAATTTTAAATTAAAAAAAAACTTATACTATACTTGGCCAAATAAGTATGATAACCAATAACATAATAGGCCAATAACTTGTGTAACAAGCATAAAACATTGAGAACTTCTAGTTTAAAATAATTAAATATTACTTATTAGTAATATTTGATTATTTTAAAGTTTTGGTAATGTAGTAAATTTTAGTATTCTACTAAAATTTACATTTCAAGCAAAATTATATACAACAATTTCAATTTAAAAGAAAAATATAACTGCTCGTTTTATCACTTGCTTTTGATCAAAACGACGAGCTAGTACTGTCACCGTTGATATATTTTTACGATAATTTATGGATAGCATATAATAGCAGAGTGGGTAGATTTACTGGCTCCGGTGAGATTTGTTCATTAATATATAAACTATTTTCATCATTATTGTCATTATTAATAAATAAATAAAAAAAAACATAGAACGATATAGGTACTTTTAGGAATGAAAAAGCTTTGAAATGTAAGAAGGACTTACCTAGCTTTCTGTAATTCAATCTGCCCTTCGAGTGTTTTAGCGAGATATATGACGAAGAGCTGCGAGAGAGCAACGCCCAGCGCCACTGATGCAATGGTATACAGGTTCCTTTCCGCCCACGAGCGAACAATTTCTATACATCCGCTCGTCCACACACGCTTGCTCGCTTCTGCAACCTAGACAAACATTTTTTTTATGAAATAGGAATGGTAAACCAGCTGGTCCAGCTACTGTAAGAGACAGCTGAAAGTTACTGACACCAGTTACAGTGCGTTGTCAATCCGTTGTTGTTGAGATAGAGTAACAAACATCAAAAGATCTTTGAAACTTTTGTAATTACGCTTATGACTCTGGTAGCTACATTAAATTAAGTGTAATCAAATGATATATCTTTTGATGAAAATATCTAGCTATTGTAAGTTTTATAACTTGTACTCACATACTACCCATTTCCTTGATGTATTAAATAAATATATATAATACTAGCTGCCCCGGCAAACGTTGTTTTGCCTTAAAATAAAAAAAAATTAGGGTTGGGCTACCCCTAACATTTAGGGGGATGAAAAATAGATGTTGGCCGATTCTCAGACCTACTCAATACGCTCACAAAATTTAATGAGAATCGGTCAAGCCGTTTCGGAGAAGTATGGGAACGAAAACACGAGAATTTTATATATAAGATAATATATTTACGGGGTATAATAACTTACGGGGAAGTTCTGCACTCCATAGCCGCACATGATGTTGACCAGCCCCGAGGAGATGTCAGTTGCGTTGATACAGCATGAGAACGGTACACCGCACCGCTCCACTGACGGCGAGGAACAGTTGAAGTACTCGTTTTTCGACCAGTCCATGTAACCATCCGACGTGAGACCACAGCAGTGGAACTGATGGCAAATAAACCCCAGATCATAAAACAACCCTAATAATAATTATAACCCAAGGAATTCACAGTGACTGTCTTAGCCCAAACTAAACAATTTGTATATTACTAAATAAGTGATTGAAGTACCTATTTTTTTATTATATTATGGTATACATACTAATGAAATAACTAGTAAACCTCCACGCAGTCCCCCCTGAAAACCATCATGACAAGTTCTTGGTGAATTTGGCTTGATGGGCTAACCGACCTGAAGTACCAGGGCAGTAGTGGAGAATTATAAAATGCTACTTATCTTATAATCCTCCACAGGTGCCCGCCAACATAAACCGTTAGCGCAGGCAGGTGCACCATTTCCTTTATCATCATTTTAAAGAATACAAACAACCATAGTCATAAATACAAACGTTTTGTGCGGGAAATGAACTCGCGACCATTGGAAGTAAGGCTATGTGATATGTGGTAGAACACTAAGGCCGCCAAATAAAAAAAATATAAGCCAGTGTGTGAATTGTCCTGGAGTTATTATTATTATGTCTACGCACATTCGATACATATGTATATTTTCTTACATGACTAAAAGTGTTACACTTACATCGCTTTGTGCGAAGTCGATGAAGTTCTGTAGGTCCGGGTCGTCTCTGTAAGCGTGTACCACTCGCTCCGTGAAGCTCAGCTCAAGTAGACCGTGCAGCGAGCGCGGGAACACAAACCCGCACACGGCGCCAGCCATCTCCACCAGGAACAATATCAGGAGACATAGCGAGTACTGTGCAACACACAAAACAAATTAATTTTATTCACATTCATTTTTTTATGTAGTTGGAATAATACATGAACAACACGAACATCGTGTTATCATATGGCATCCGTAATACCACTCATTCTTTGATACTGTGAAGGACTAAGATTAACTTCTGTGTAATTACTTTCTATCCAGTAATTACACTGTCTAATCTCACTCTACTAACGAAAAATATCTTACAATGGCTTTTTGATGAAATAGGCTGAGTGAGAGTGTGGTCTTTGCAACTGTCAAAGTCTTGGTAGGAAAAAAGAGGGTATGCAAAAAATGCCTACCTACATTTTTGACCTTGTTCGAAGAACTTTGAACGTAACAACTGAACTACATAGATCGCACTATTCATGGTTATAAGCTGACTAACGTCGAAAAAGGTAAATGTCTCATTTATCATAAAATTCATGTTAAGTCTTGATTCACATTTATAAAACGTACAAATGACTAATAACCCTTGTTATGACTATTCACCTAATTTGTATAGTCTTACGCTTTTTTTTTCATTTGAAGTTAAGGGACAAAACATTTCCACAGGTAAACTGTGTATAGTAGTTTTAATTTTTATGATTGATTGAATTGATTGAATGATGATGATTAAGCAGATTTATGAAGGCGATAACAAAAATGCACGCAAATATTTATTCAGCCTTTATTTTGTATTCACACTAGCCAAACAAACCATATTATTTGTAGTAATTTTATTTAAGTGTATTATGATATGGATGTCGAGCATATGAGAGTATGCGCGCAAGTACAACCTGTAAACCGCTGGATGCATATAAGATTAGATTTTGTAACTATTGCCTACTGGCAATATTATTAGTAATATTATTATTGTTGGAATAGATAGTCTTTTTATTATTATTATTATTTATTTCAGTTCTCCATCTATGTATAGTTCAGGGTAGTAGAACAAGAGATGGGCACAATACTCTCCAGCAAGAATATTTAAGAAATATTAGGTAAATAATAACAGTATAACTTAGAAACTCACAAATTTAAGTAGACACGTATTCTCCCTCAGAGCGCCGACGCATCCGGCAAAGCTGACTATAAAAACTACGCCACCGAGAAGAGCAATCAGAAGACTGATGTTCAGCATTACATCGTACACTGTGTCCAACTGAAATATTAATTTAATTAATTGATTATTGAATACAACAAACATATTTACAAATATCTGCATTTTATTATGCATACAAGTTATTGTGATAGGTATAGACATACAGAAAATTCATATCTTGGTAGCAATAATTGAAATATTTTTTTTTTTATTTACTTCTTGTAAATAGCTTCGTATTTAGTTCTAAGTTCTAAGGTAACCTCATTGATCTCTTAGGTATAGAGAGGTATGTACCCAGGTCCTAATCTACCTAAGCATACTTGTTGGTAATACAGAACAGACTTCCCTGTTCTGAGGTTGGGAAACGGGGAAAAAACTGGTTTTAAACGCCAGTTTACCCAAAATAGGATATTAAGGATAGTTTGTGTATGAATAAAATTTGTAACACAAAGCTCCGTCGTTATCTTAATGTAGGTGTATTACAATGGACGCTATAACAAGTTGTAGTTAAAATGTAAACCACAACTTGTTATAGCGTCCATTTATATGATTTCTATAAATAACAGCAAATATATATAGTCAGTACCATTATCGAAATATAAAGCCATAACAATTGATGTCGACTGTACGGTACTTAAAAGTAATTCGCATTACGTTTATTAAACAGTTCTCTGACCAAAAAAAGCGACGTGGAAGCACAGTGCCGCAGTATTGCGCGACACTCTGGCTCTAAAGCCCAATTTACACTCAGCCCGAGTGGGCAGGAAAGTTAGCACAAAAGTGAGCAGCGCGAGTGTAAACACGATACATCACATGCCATTGACGCTGCCACTCGCGCTGCCCGGAGCTCCCTCGATTGTCGGTTTTTCGTGCGCGTATCAATGGACTGGCAGCGCGAGTGGCAGCGTTTGTTTACATTCAGCCCTCTCGCTCAGTTGTCGCCCGGTATTTTAGGCGAAAGGTAAGGAAGAGTGGCCCGGTAAATAATAACGGAAAATATGAGGGCTGAGTGTAAACGACAGTCACTCGCGTCGACTCCTGTCGACACTGACGCGGCAATATTTCCGACAGCGTGAGTGGCAGGGGAATCAGCTGAATGTAAACGAAACATAAGGACAGTGCCATCTTAAGGCTGGAACCACCGTCACGGGCAGTCGGGTCAAACAAATCAATACACAAATATTGTTTAAAAAGATATACAAAAATCAGGGATATCCGGATATCCAATAAAAAGATTTTTTTTTTATCCGAAATAAATGTTTCGGACAATATCGGATAGGGGCCAAGCCTAATAGATAAACGTTATGTAAACATTTTATTAGCTGTGTGTATTTTACTTTTGAAATTCAATAAAAAAAATATATCCGTAACCGAAATTAACGGATACTTAATCCGAAATAATTTCATATCCGCATCCTAATCCGTATCCGGTAAAATAATCACTCCTATATCCGAAACCTATCCGTATCCGAAATTTCATATCCATAACATCCCTGATGCCTACATTTCTCTATTTTCATTGCCTGTATATTTTATGTTGCTATCCTGGTAGATATTCATTTATGCATTTTTAATATATTATTATATACATACCTTATAGGTATATATTCCGAGATTCGTATATTTGCACCGTCAATAATGGACTACCTATACCTTAGCATTCAATTTTCTACCGAAAATACTACATGGTGAAGCCTAATTGTATCTTTTTAAAAGATTTAAGAAATTCAACATACATATATTATGGTACTTTTTTATGAGTTTTTTAACAATAAATGCGTAAATATACTGTTGTCTGTAGGTATTATAACCTAGCAACTCGCTCCGGCTTCCTATGGGCCCAAGAATTAAGATACTTTTTTATTTAAACTAAAATACTTAACTCCTATAGTGTTATCGTACACACATAAATCAAATGACGTAAAGGACAATATTGTTCAATATTAAATAACGTATTTATTGAAATAAAGAATATCATATTTATAAAAACACCTTCGAAAATAGTGCATTATTTTAGCAGACTTTTGATTACCATAAAAAAGGATATAATGAGTTAACCTTAAAATGTAGACATATGTTGTCGCAGACTTTTTTTAGAACTTTAAAGGAGAATAAGTCATACATTTTTTTCATTACCTCGGGGCTAATATACCTTTGTAACAGTAAAATAAATTATAAAATCGGATCAGCAGAACTGGGAATTACCCCGAACAAACAAACATTCAAAGTTTTCCTGTTTATATTATAATATTAGTGTGGTAGTTTATAATATTAGTGTAGATAAGTCAATGACGTAATCACAATTATTTCCTTCTGATTTATTTTGTAGTCCTAAATATAATATTCGTATTTTAGTTTACATATACTGTGGTACCACTTTTTTTATGGCATCATCGAAGTGACATTTGGTAGAATTAAATTAAACTTAAAAATGATTGAATTATTTCCGTAATTCAATATTGGAAAATTATGTAATAAGGCATTAAAAGACTTTGATTCAGAAAAGAAAAGCAATTGTTAGTAATGGAAACTAATTAGTAGAACACCATTGCTAATAATGTATGTCAGCAGGAATTCACTCCTAATAACCACAATGTCTTAAACTGGGGAATATGTATTTTAAACAATACATCACTGTCCATACAAAACATGCTGCTTGAAGATTTTCTACAATAACTCTATAAAATTTTGTGTATAGGATAACTAACATATGTATATCAATGTTTCACATTACTTAATCAGACTTGCTTTAAACAAGTTCGTTTTAGAATTACATGTTTGTTTTTCACCAAAAAAAGACCAATCTTTAGCTCATATGTATGAATGTATGTATGTATGTATGTATCAATGAGTGATCCTATTCTGGGAATGCCTGAAGACAACATGGCACCAGAGTGTAACTTTGTACAATATTATAAAATCGAAATATCTGGAAGAGACGAATGGCAAAATAACCATACACCGACTTCAGAGCATGACCTAGTCTGGTTTACAGACGGGTCCAAAATAGGAGATGATGTAGGATGTGGAATATGCGGTGTAAAACCCAAAATCTGCAACTATATAGGCTTAGGAAAATACGCCTCAATCTTTCAGGCAGAGACTTACGCCTTAATTAGATGTCTGGAAGTAATCCTAAGCCTTAACTACATCAATCAGAACATATACATTTATTCGAAAAAGATTCAACAAAAAAAACTGTATCCTCCTACTAAATGAAGTAGGAAGCAGAAATAATATTATACTGAGATGGGTCCCGGGCATCTTTCTGGCAGCTCATATGTATATCATATCTTAATAATAATAATGGCCTATGCATTTATGGCATAATGATCCATGTATCATATTTTATTGTATTAACAATTCAAGTATAAAGTTTAAAATAAATGTGCAGGACGTGATAACAATTCAAGTATAAAGTTTAAAATAAATGTGCAGGACGTGATATATAATTAATTTATAGATTAAACATCTAAAAAGTTACCTTGATAAGTCCAGTGGCCTGCCATTTGTCAATAAATGCATATAAACCTACACCAACCAGCAGTCCTCCAAATAACTGCAAAATAAAATAGTAATATATATATAAATATATATGTATGTAGGCTCATAATATATTATTACGTATATGTATAATCTTATATCTATTTAATATAATCATATTTAATTTATTAAAAACAAACCACCTTCGAGTATCTCTGCACTCCCTAAGGTTGGCTGGTAGAGAATGCTATTAGCATTAAGCACGCCTATTGTACAAAATCAATAAAGTTTTACATAAATAATATTAGTATATTTTTCTTTTGGTTTTTATTTATTCATCCATTGCAGTTTTTAGTAGTTCTTAGGTTATATGAAATTTTAATTCACGAAATTATATACCTTGTTACTCACAATAAGCCAAAGAGAAGAAATTATTTTGTGGAAATAGTGTGAATGACAGTGCCTAATAGAAATAACAACAGACAGTCTACTTGGTATTACATAATGACAATGTTGAATGTTATGCAAATGTGGTAATGGGAACTAATAATACCATTGTTAGAAATATAGCAAGTCAGGTTGACTAAACCTCCACATGGTTTCCCCTGGAAACCATGTAATACTAACGGTTCTGACCTCATGATCATATTATCACCCTCCACTGATGTCCCACCAGTGTAAAGGTGTACCATTTCTTTATTGGTCATTTCAAAAAATCTGTGATGTGCAATCTTCTTAGATACCACACAATATGATCACACTAGGACTATTAACTGTCTACTACCATTTTAGTATAGTTCTACCAACATATACCTAGAAACAATAATGTCTAATAGACCTGTATAGAAAATGATTGTACTATTTTTCCCAGGGAGGAGGGAATTGTTAGTAATGGAGACTAATGGAAGTATTGCTGACACTGGTGTGATTGTATTACTGATCACTCACACTAATCAAATAGATTGTTCATGATAGACTAAATGCCCTGACTGTGGCCTCCAGTATAAAATGGAAGGTTTAGTATGAACTCATCCTACTAACCACCACCGGTGCCTCTCCAACATATACTGTATGTTGAACATATACATATACTATATGTTGGTATGTTACATTACACTATTACTTACCATATAAAAATAAATAGCATTATTATTATATTTTCATATTTAATACATAGTTTTATTTTTATGGATAAGATGATCCATAATTTAGTAATAAATAATTATGTCAAGGGTTGCATTATTTAAATGACTACTCAGCTGATGTTTATTTTATGTTCATAGTTATTATCACGAACGGAAACAGTGAAACCGTGAAGATATTCTTTTGTATATCAATTCCCACACATGACATGTACACAATGATTCATAGGTACATAAAAAACCTACCTATCATATGTTCAAATTTATGTAGTAAAAACCAACTTTCCTGCTCAAGATACAATGCGGTATTCATTATGGTAATGTGAAAGCTACAATATAAAAATATACTCACCCAAAATATAAAATTCAGGACAAAAATCATATATTTCACACAACTACTAACGTACGTAAAATTTGGCCCCCTGCGTCTATGCATTTTCGCTTTATTCCATAAGTAAATGACAAATTACATTAAACAAGCTACTGTCACACTTTTTACAGTTAACTTCTCTAAAAACCAAAACAAAATATACAATTTTTTTAAATTAATTACGAAAGACTTTATTGAAGAAATAATCTTTTGTATTTCTGTAGCTACTGTATATTGATGTAAATTTTAACGTCCTTTGACAATTGATAAATGACAGTCAGACGATTGACATATTAGGTTACTGCTGTCAGTCTGATAATGACAATATAAAACAAAAAAAAAAATGACAATATATGACATATGTTGGACGATATTATCATATTATATTGCAATTGCTACAAATTTTCATTTGTTCCTGTCATAGAAATGCAATTATAGTAACTTTATACTTAATTGAAAATGTGACAAACATTATATTTTAATGCTATTCTTGATTCGTTTTGTTCGAGAATTTTGTAGTTAGCAATGCGAACAATATACATAATATGCATAATTAATATTACTACAGTTTATTCTATTAACATAATTAAGTATTGATAACAAGTCTCATGTTGATAACAAAAATAAATTAATATTCACCTACCTAATTTGCCATATAGGCACATACTGATTGGCTATGCACACTTGTTTCGTACACGTTTATATTGTAATTGCCGGTATCAGTGTTGGAGATAACTTGTTTTTTAATGAGGAATATTCAAGACTGCTTTTGTAAAATGACGTACTGGCTGTTAATTATATTTACAAGGTATTTTAACACATTTTAAATAGTAAAAAATATTTTTATCAATAATTCTGTGTAAATAATACAGAGTTTATTAAAATATAGTCTGGAATAAAAAAATACAAATTATAATTTTGTTTTGGTTAGTTTGCTAGGGACAGATGGGTGGTCGGATAACCGACAGCGCAAGTTTAAGGATGACTTCCTGTTTGGTGCAGCCACTTCAGCCTATCAAGTGGAAGGAGCTTGGAACATTGATGGTATTCTTATTTTATTTTAGTTTTCAATACAAGTTTTTCAATATTTAGTACTCTTGAAATATAAGCGCTTTAGTGTAATACAGTTTACAGTTGACATTTTGGTCCTTTACTATAACTATATTGTGTTAAGTTGACTGGAAGAGATCTTTGTCAGCGATAATCCCACCCTTGTTCATATATTTTTATAACAATATATATTATATTACAAGTGCAACAGAGAGTATGTAATTTTATTTATGTATTAATATTTTTGTTGTTCATCTTGTTTTTTTTCACTCAGGCTGGGGACAGCTGGACAGAAAGCTTAAAATGATGTGTCACATATTACTATTATACATTACACATATTACTATACATATTGGTATTAAAATTAGAAAGAATGTGAACATATATCGAGTAAAATATATTTGATGAATTGTTTAGAATGTTTATCGAGGTTTATGATTTATTGTTTAAAATGTACTAATGAATGTTACATAAATATGTTTTTAGGTAAGAGTGAGAGTATTTGGGATAGATATTTTCATGAACATCCTGAGGTGGTAGTGGATGGCAGGAATGGTGATGTAGGCAGCGACTCTTACCACCAATATAAGAGAGATGTGGAGTTGCTGAGAGAGCTAGGTGTAGACTTCTATCGATTCTCCATGTCCTGGAACAGAATATTACCTACAGGTATTTCTCAAACTCTTATAAAAATAGTTATACTTAAACATTTACATTTAGTTTACATAGTCAGTATAGTTATACTAATCTTAGTAGTTATAAAAAGTCTTGTATTTTGTATATTTTTCAAAGACCTCATACATATCAAACTTGTTAAACAGACTGGAATGATAAATATTGAGCAGAAGTTTCCCCATTAATGATCTATAAATGTATAGCCTCCAACACTTAGCAGTAACTATTACAGGTTGAGAAAAAGTAATTGATCACATATTGTTGAAGGTAATATGTATGGCTTATATTGAAATAATGGACAGTTACAGCCAGAGGCTGACAACTCAGAACCTAGGTCCTGTCCTTTGTGATAGAATAGTTTCCAAAACCAACATACAAGTTAGATAATATTATTTGAAGGATGGCTGAAGAAAGGCTGCTCATTATGTAAGCAGTAAGAGTTCGTATATATAATCCAATTCTTTTGTTCTTATACTTTTTTTTCTACGGTCTTAACTTATCTGAATATTGAATTTGGTGTGCAAAAAATGACAATTAATATTATTAAAATGAACTAAGTATTTCAATTGTTTAATTAACGATAAATATAAAAAATATTATATTTTAAAACTTCATTCAAGGGTTGGAAGCTATTCATATATTATCAACTAATGTCTACTCTATATGGGTATCTCCATGTTATTGATACCTAAATATGTAACACATTTTTTAACTATAAAGATATGATTTTTTTAAACCTAAATATTTTACCTATATTGAAACAACACTGTCTGTTTCAGGTTTCCCCAACAAAATCAATGAAAAGGGTATCCAATACTATGATAATCTTATTAATGAACTCCTTAAATACAATATTGAACCAGTGGTGACTTTATTCCATTTTGATTTACCCCAAACTCTCCAAGATTTGGGCGGTTGGGCCAATCCTTTATGTATTGAGTGGTTTGAAGAGTATGCTCGCGTTGTATTTGACAAATATGCGGATAAAGTAAAATATTGGATCACAGTTAACCAACCGAATGACATATGTATTGAAAGTTATGAGAGTGATAGGTGGCCACCAGCGGCTGAATCAAAAGGGATAGGACCATATTTGTGTATAAAGAATGTTATGTTAGCCCACGCAAATGTTTACAGATTGTATGTAAATGAATACAAGAATAAGTATAAAGGTATGCAAAAAAGCAATTGTAAATGTTTTCCTTTTTTTTTTAAATAATATATATGCTGCCCACCTAAATAAAATTTAAGTGTCTGTTTGTAATTACAAATTAAGAGCTTTTTCAAAATGCATAGGAAAGTATGTTACGGTCTAAGATAGAAGTCTGTCATTTTGACTGGTTTTGACAAGCCTTTATCTTGCAGATAACTAATGTTATTAGGAGTAACTTAGGCTACTTTTATTTTAGAATATTTATATTTATCTAATAAAACAAAGTTGAATTCCAATTAAATTTACTAAAGCTAATGAACAGGTATCCAGACACATTTATTGATATTATATACTCATGTATTAAATATAACAAATTTCCGATACACAAAGACTTCAACTCGGGTTGAGTCTGCTCCGATTGTTATAACGGACTCTTTTGTTAGTCAATATAAGTAGTTATAAAATAATAAGTTAGTATTTTAATTAAATCAATTTGATTCTCAGAAGTATAAAGTTGAACTACATCTGTTTAAAAGAATAACAGGCAACTACTAACTGTGTGTTTTCTTGGTTAAATTTGCATAACCAATTGGCTGTAAACTGCTAAAGTGCTTATAATTTTTTTATTATAGTAATGATTGTCTACTATTTCTTTCAGGATCTGTTGGAATATCATTGGCAGTGAACTGGTTGGAACCTTTGAACAACAAGACTGAAAATGTAGAAGCTGTTGAACTGTATAGAGAATTTACGGTTGGTTTGTTTTACTTGCTCAGTTCACACTACAAAATTTGTATTCATGTGTATGATTGTTTATACAAGTCTATGTGTTTTCTATGTATAGTTTGCATAAGTTTACAAAAAAAGTGTATTTATATAAGTTGTCTAGTACCCACAACCGAATCACTGCTTAGCTTGGGACTGAATGGCGCTGTGTGAATTGATCTTAAACATCGTTTTACCACTATTAGTACCACTTAATTTAGCTAGCTATATCAGTTGAGATGACATGAATCTTAACAGGCACTTTTTTTTAACACTTAATTATATTTGCAGCTGGGCTTGTTTATTAACCCTATATGGTCAAAAGAGGGTGACTTTCCTCAAGTGGTGAAGGACATTGTTGCCAAAAGGAGTAAGGAACAGGGATTTACTAAATCAAGATTGCCAATACTTAGTAAACAAGAAATCAAATTATTAAAAGGTAAGTAATATTGAAATACATACGGATAGATCAATACACAATTAATGCAGAATTTTTATTCATATAGAAAAAATGTATATGCAGGATACCTCAGTGATATATATTAATCTAATAAAATAAAAAAGCAATACATACTATAGACACTTTGCTATGCACTGTGATATTGTGGAATCACCTTCCAGCAATGATATTTCCGAACGGATTCAATATTAAAAACTTCGGATAAATAGCGAAAAGAGGAATACTCTTTTAAAATGGCCAGCAACTCTTTTTCTATTCATCTAGTATTGCAGGTGCCACAAGATCATTTGCCCCTATGCATTAAAGAAAAGTTTTATTTTCTTGGGGAAATCTTACAGCAATTGAGAATCAAGAAGTTTAGATGTTTGTTCAGTAAACTATGAACGGACTACAACATTATACTTAATGGTTAAAAGAAGTCGATATGTTGCCTCGCTGCCAACGCCCCAATGAACTCTAATTCGCGTTTTGTTACTACAGCATACATTTCCAAATTGCATGATTCTTTCCATATTCTGTTAATCTGAATGGTTGAATATCAGAAGCCTTACATTGTCATCCAAGTGCTATAAAAAAGTAATGTTGATGTTTTAGGTTCATCGGACTTCTTAGGCATAAATCATTATACAACGTCTCTAGTAAGTCCATCTAGCGACGAGTTTCCATCACCGTCAATCGCTGATGATGTTCGTGTACAACTGAGTAAGAGGTCTGAATGGAAAATTGCGAAGTCACCTTGGTTGGCGGTAAGTGAATGCTTGTAGAGGTTAGAAATAACTAGCAACTCGTTGGTTTGGGTCAGTAGTCCTAAAATTGGAGAGGGTTGTCATATAGCGTTGGGTTGACCGTACTAGACCCCGTGGACCGACCCGTCGAGCCAGTGTCCTACCTCTGCCCCTTTTTTCGTCCGCGATGCCTTCTATTATACATGTCCCCAAATTATCTGTTCCCGGCGGGCCACGTAAACAAAGGAATACGAATCTGACCGATAGTAAAAACTATTCGTGTCAATTTTATTTCTGACTGATTTACTTAACGTCTCCTGCCACGTCCGTTTTTCTATGTTCAAGGTATTATGTTTACCACAACCTCTAACTGCAAATCTAAACCAATGCTAGAGGCATGGGAGGAAATGGATTAATGACACCATGTCAAGTTGACCTCCACGAGGAGACCTATAGACCATTCTGATAAATTCCTTGTGAATTTGTCACGATGGGCTAACTAACCTGACCCTCAAGTTCATCTTATCATGCTCCACTGGCGCCCCGCCAACGTAAACCGTTAGAACAGGCGCGCAGGGTGCACCATTTCATTATCATCCATTAAAAATGTCTCTAAAATGGAGTAGCCATTTGAGATATTAGTCCTGACGGTTCGTTTCTTTCATTACAAACACTTTTTCTTTCGCCAGAGCGCTCCATACGGTATCTACAAAGCGTGTATTCACATTAACTTAAAGTACGACTACCCTCCGGTCTTTATCACGGAGCACGGCTGGTCCACAGACGTGGGCCTGCAGGATGAAGACAGAGCATATAACCTTCGTGAATACATGAAGGCGATACTACTGGCAATAGAAGATGGGACCAACCTGAAGGGATATACCGCCTGGAGTTTAATTGATAATGTGGAATGGAGTGCTGGTACCAGGTTATTGTTATAATTATATTACTTTATATTATTTCAATACTAGTCGAGTTTCTTGCCAGTTCAAATAATGATAAAAAATCTAACTTAATTATTACTCGCAGAAGAGCTAGATAGGTCTTATAGGATTAGGTTTTTTTTAATTTGAATTTGAATGCCACATTCTATTCACTCTGAAATTTTCAAGAGTAAATCTACTTCAGTACAAATCAATTTGTACCGAATTAGAATTTGTTTGTTGTTGTGAAAAAATGTATCAAAATGCTTATTAATATATGCCTATATGTTGAACATTGCCAGATTCTGTCAATATAAACATTATTGTGAATATTTGAAGGCTTAGCGGTTTAGCACACCGCATTACTTCCAATGGTTGCAGGTTCGATTCTTCGCACAGCGCAAACATTTTGTATTCCTGAGTGTAATTCTTACTATAATAGTACTCATAACACAAGCTTTACTTAGCTTGGGACTATGTCGCGCTGTGTGAATTATCCTTCTTCTCTCCTATTTATTTACTTATTATATTTATTCTCATTCAATGACGAAAATGTTATATTATTACTGAATCCACACGTACATATGTTACGGCAAATGCACTGTACCTACCCTTCATTAATTTTGCGGATAAAATTGAAACAATGGGGGCAGAATGACAGCGTAATACAATTAATAAAAGGTTTTTAAATAATTTTATAAACAATTCTTGATTTAAAATGTGTACACATACGTGTACGGCTGAAACTTCTAATTAAACTTTAGCATCAGTGGGATCTTTTGAGCATATTAAATTCCACCTCAGTTTTATACTACTTTAGGTTTTGTTCTCGTAATTAATTATAACAATATGGTAATTTGTTACAGTGAACGTTTCGGTTTATACGAGGTGGACTTCGATTCTGACGACAAAACGAGAACACCGCGGCTCTCAGCCCATGTTTACAAGCGACTTATTAAAACGAGGGTAGTCGAAGAAAACTGGAAGCCGAAAAGTATGAAAATGAAGATTTCTGATAGAAAATTTAAAGAACCCGAACCCAAAGCGGAGCTTTAAACCATTGTACACTAACAAATGAATGTACGTAATGGCCTTAACTGTTACAGTTAATGAGACGATCTCGATCGCGATTTTTAGTTTACTTTACATAAATTACCACAAACTGCAGAGTTCTTTTATTTTTTAATTTTTCTATAATTACAGAATAAAAAAATATTTATTTTTATAATTGTTTTAGAACTTTAGATCGAAAAAATGTGATTGCTACAAATTTCAACATTTAAGGGTTATAAGTCATAGCAAAGCATTTTTTTTTATACTGTTGGGCTTATGGTTCATTCCATCATATGTCAGCAAAGATTATTTTTGTTATATATAATAATGTACGTACATTCCATACATTCCTAAAACTTCAAGAGATTTCAATCTACTTTAATTATTTCACTACACCTTGAATTATACATAATTTGACAACTATGCCAATGTATCGCATAATCTTATTACTGTAGATTTTAATGGTTGTGAAAAGAACTTATAATTTTGAGAAATTATATTTTATTTATTTATTTTTATTTATAAACTCTTTATTGCACCAATAGAATTATACAAAAAAGAGATATGGAAGTACAAAAGGCGGTCTTATCGCAAGAAGCAATCTCATCCAGACATTATACTTTACTGTGTTTTATCATATACATATACTAATATTATAAACAGGTAAAGTTTGTGAGTTTGTAGGGGATAACTTCTGGACCGAATTCGAACATTCTTTTTACCAATAGAAAGCCTAGTTATTTGTGAGTATTATAGTTTATATAAAATCGCACTATCAACAATAGGAGCTGTAATGAAAAAATGTTATAGAAACAAGGAAAATGTGACGCAGACGAATTCAGCTAGTAAATGGTATACATAAAGGCTTTAGTTACGTAATAGTTTTACTATAATTTACGTAACAAAAACAGGGATTTATGGGTGATTTATTTTATTAACAAAAAATATATAAGTTTTATCTTATAAGTGTGACAATAGCTTGTGATAAACGATAGGACCATAATATTAAGTTTTCTAAAGAAAATATTACTAACTTAACTATCTTCTGTGATTATATATATTTTATTTTATTGTTTGTTATACAATTAAAAATTTAATAGATCAACAGAAAGGACTTACCTGATATGATAAAAAACAACCGAAACCATTGATGGTTACTGCAGAGGCCAATCACAGCCATTAAATGGCTTGACACAAAGGAAGTGACAACAGCACATCAGCCCTTAGACACAAGGATGATAAAAAGAACTGGCTCTAGAGCGACATTCTCTGCTGCAAGAGGTTTTTGTTCCTATTTTTCCCATTTATAATAGATATTCATGGTGACATGGTAATGCAAGCACCTGTGTTTCCTCTAATATGGTCAAGTGCAATGATATACAAATATATATATATTTGATGGTATAAAGTAAGTATCGCTAAAACATCAACATGAATAAAGATATTTATTTGTTTAAAATGATTTCGATTACCTATTTTTATAACGAAAAAAACATTAGTAATGCCATCTGCAATTTGTCCTAAAAATAGTTTTAAAATATTTATCCACGTTTAGATGGCGTCGCATCCAACGTTTACTGCGAAACTTTCACTATAGTTTAGTAGATGGCGCTACAGGTCTCAAAAATTTACAGATTGTTACAGGCGTAAACTAGTAGTTCTGCTCTATTATATTATTTATAATAATATACATACGTACAAATGTATTTATTCGGTAAACATATTTTATTCATGAACGGAGCGATATTTCATTATGGGTTCGTAAACTGACATGTAGGTACTTATTTTGATGTTATAACTATTTGTAGAACCTTCTATATCTACAAACTACGCCTTTACTGCTAGTTTTTTGGTATTTATGTAAGTTGTTATTCAGTTGAAATTAAGACTAACTTTCAGTCATATACCTATACCTATGTACCTACTAAGACGTTTTGAAAAAGGTAATAACGGCATAAATATAAATTATAAATAAAAATATATCATCAAGTCATTTTACGGTCCCGGTAAAAACCGTCGACACTTTCAGTTTCAGAATCGATTATATAAAAATAGACAGACAGATACACTTTCGAATTTAAAATAATCTTTGGTAAGTGTGGATATGCATTACAAAAAATAATAAAATCTAATCCGACCCATCAAAAGTCTTACCATTGTAAATCGCCATTTCATACAACACTGTGTTCCTATTCACACAGAAGAGAAATAATTTAGACAAATATGACGGCTACCAGTATACAATGGATTATCCAATTTTTACACTCATTATATTCGGTATTTAGGTACACTAGTTTGTTATTTATGAAAAAAACTGCAACAAAGCTTACGTATATAAAAAAATGGGGCATCGACAAACAAACACCGCGGGTGGCGGAGTACAATGAACGAGAGGCATTAAACACTGATTTTATAACAGAACAAACAGATTCGCCGCAAGCTTTATTGCCATAGCAATAAAGTTGACTTTCCGAAATGTTTCCAGACAAAAGATATAACAAGTCAATGATCCGCGAACGCTACCTACTGTATTGTGGAGTGCTTATTATGGAGTAGCGAAATCGGATCATCTTGATTTAGTATGGAAAGACTAATTTGTACAATAAATTGTTTGATGGGAGCCGCGGATACTTTAGCGGCAGCTTTACTTACAAATATTATGGCCTGGTATAATAAGTGTAGGTACTCGTAAACAAAATGTACTACAGTATAGTTGTCATTTTTTTATGGATAGCCAAATAAAGTGTTCCGATGTGTAGTTATTGTTGCTGGCAGCTTGGCCACCATTCTTTTAATTATTAATTAAGAGAAATAATTTAGATAAATATGACGGCTACCATTCTTTTAATCGAAACAATAAATTGTTTGATGATTCGCCGCAAGCTTTATTGTCATAGCAATAAAGTTGACTTTTCGAAATGTTTCCAGACAAAAGATATAAAAAGTCAATGATCCGCGAACGCTACCTACTGTATTGTGGAGTGCTTATTATGGAGTAGCGAAATCGGATCATCTTGATTTATTGTATTATTTCGATACTTTTTTTGTCACTTTGTACTTGTTTGTGTCTTCTTGGAAAATATACTTACATACATGTACACGTATTATAGTTTTTTATTAAATAGTTGTAGTGTTCCCGCTCTTAATATCCCGCCGCTTAATATTGTAATTTATGTCTATTTGTAATAAAAATGTGATTGATAGTCACAATCGCCCAATAATGGTTTTAATCTTTTAAATGTCTACATAAACACAACTTGAAATTTTTATTCCATTAGATATATTGGTAGATTTTATCAATTTAATAGTATACAAAATATGTAAACACTGTTTGAAACTCTTCCAATTTGCCTGTTTGCCAGTATGTTTCTGCGTGTTAGTTTCAGAATTTGCATCAGCTAATTTTGCAGTTTTCTATAATTGTAAGGTATACTTGAAATTGAATGTTTGTTTTATTCCAATCTGTTTACGAACAAAAAGTTATACGCATACGCGTTACCGAGTTCAGTTAGTTTGTTAATAAAATCTGCCCACTAGCGGCGTTCGAGTCTGACTTGTACTGAAAGCACCAAACTTTTGTTTGTCAATTTAAATGCAACTCTCAGGTGAAAACATTTATGTATTAGAAACTAACTGAGCCTGCAATTTCGTACCTATTGTCAGAATAACAATAGTTCAAAGTTTTCAACTTTTTAATTTTAGCTGAAATCGCACAAACATTGGTTTAGCCGTTTTGAGATTAAAGCACATGTTTTTATTTAATTCTAACCGTCATTTGGTCTCTATTACGTTAATAAAGTATCCCAATAATAGTTCTTTGATGTTCTATCTAATCAATAAGTAGTTCTGTTCATGTAATGTAATATTGTTATAAATATTACGATAGGCGACAGTAAACACTTGCCATAAGATTAGCTAATTTGACTTTCGATTTACATAAAAAAACATTATATACATATATGTATATCTAAGTATTCCGCGGCCATACGTTGTAGGTACACATATTTATATATACTCGTATATAGCTATACTTTTAGGAAGAACATTTCAAAACTGATAATATTTTTGTGAGCAGTAGAGGCTGTGTGGAGCTATGATATGTGGATGCAAGAGAAGCAAGACATCGTCGCCGCCGACTGGGGGAGGAGGGAGGCTCCTTTTATTGTATTTACTGGATCGTGTAAAATATGTATGGGATGATGTGACGTGTCTCGGCTTATATGACGGCTCTATATTGTGGAGATGGCTTTGTAGTGAGTGAATAAATTATTTCCTACTTATATTAAAAAGTAGCGTTAGAAAGTTATATTTTTCTCTGTAGCAAATGCTATGAATATGCTAATTTGTCGTGGAGTGAGATCATGATTTAAAAAGTATTCATTAATTATTTTATATATATAGGTAGGTATAAACCTACAAAAATTTCGTTTCACAGTGTTTGTTACAGTTGTTATTTTAAAATAGTTATAAATACTGTTGCTACCTATACTTAATTAATATTGTGATAATGCATTTTAAATAAACACCCACAAATTATTTTTTAATATCCTATAAAAATGGGTAATTCATATTAATTACCCATAGTGCCCCAAACATATTTAAAAAATGCAAATACCTACCAAATCGGTAATGTCAAATTTGTCTCTGGGATTAAAAAGCAGACTATAGATGTATAGGGAGAGGAAAACAGAAGAAAACATAGATGGACTGTGTGATAGTTAACACGTATAGGGGCACTAAGCTTAGATATCATTAGATATTAGCTGTCGGCTCTCTGACGGCTGTCATCTTCTTCAACAGGTCGTCACCTGTGAAGAAGATGTATATAAATATATACGAGTAGGTATATCCACTATTCTTAACCGGTGTCCATATTGCGCCGATCCGGGATAATAGAATAAAGGCAAGGCAATATTGATAAATTAGCATATGATTTCTGGAGTCACAGATGGTAGGCGCTTATCATCAAGAGCCGTATACTTCATTGTCATCTTTTATAAAAAGCCTTCTCCATAATAACATTCCACTTCCCCGATATCACTCTGTATGATATAATGATATATCCCGGTTATGCCTACCTCTCGCCCCTTGACAATCCCTCAAAAACTTGAACCCCTAAGAAATCCGCTAAGTAGCGTTCCTTATAATAATATCTTGACATCTGGTTTGTCTGTACGTTGCGTGTTTTTATTTTTATTAGAAAAGTACCTTTACTTATCAGAAGGTACAGTAGATAATATAATATGCTAAAGAAACACGACTCCCACTGCCTACCTCGTTAAGACGTACATCGTGCTAGACTAATCACTGCCCGTGAGTTCATTCCTTA